TGGGAAGGCCCCCCGGCCCCACCAAGCTCTCCAGCCCAGACAGTGGGGGAGGAAGACCACGTGCTGCTTCCTCTCCCTGTCTGGCAGGAGGCTGGGGGGAAGACTCCCCCATGCCCCCCACCAGCATGCCCCTTTTGGGACAAAGTCTGGCAGCAGTCCCCAAAGTTTGCTGCGGTGGATAAAGCACATGGGAAGGGTGGGGGCTTTCTCACCGGGGTGGGGTGCTCAGTGCCCAGGAGCTCCAGCTGAAGGGGTCAGGGAAGCAAGAGAGCAAGACCTTCCCAGCCCCCAGGCTCCCACCCCAGATGTCTCCCCCAATCCCCCCCCCAAAGCAAGGGCAGCTGCCTGCTCTCTCGTGCTGGAAAGACACCCAGCCTCTCTGTCCAGCCTTGTTCGGCACCAGCTCCAGTGCATTCCCACCAGAGAGGGAATCACTGGGGCCCAGCTCCGAGGAAGGGGCAAGGGAGACAAGAGGGAGCACCACAGAGCGCAAAGCAGCTGAAGGGCCAGGAAGCGTGAGGGGGACAGCCAAGGAAAATGACCTTCCTTTGCCAGGCCTTGCCCCAGGCTGAGGCTGTTAAAGGTCCCCAGCCTTGTTCCCCACTGCACCTAGGGGGAAAGCAGGGTTAGAAGAGAAGCTGGACAGACTGGGAAGGGAGTGACGCCTTTGGAAGAGCAGGGAAGGCAACTGTTCACCCACAGGAAGCTTCCCACTCTTGTGGGATGAACACCTCCTGGCGTCTCTGCTCTCCTCCTGGAGGCACGCTCCCTCTGGCCCTCGCCTGGCCACCTGGAGAATAGAGCGTGAGCTGCAGCCCCCCACCCGCCCTCCCCACCTCCTCAGGCTGCTCCAGCCCCCCAGGGCTGGCTCCCCAAGGACTCTGCAGTGTAGTGCCTGCAACGTGTGGCCCTAGAGGTTTCCCCAGGACTCCGGCGGGGGGAACTGGTCCACATCCCCCATTTCATTGTAGGTTTGCTCTCCCATGGTGAAAGTCAGCTTGTACCGTAGCCTCACTTTCTCCTGGAGACAGGGGAGAAAAGACAAGCAGTCAGAAGAGGGGGGGGAAGAAAGTCATGAGGCACAAACCATTCAGGTCTCTAGGAAGGTGCAGAGGGAATGGGGACAGGGTCACTAGGCTTTGTCCAGACAGCAAGGCCAGCCTGCTCGTGCCCCAGGGACGGTGCCATTACCTTCTGTGGGTTAGCAAGCAGCAGGACTTGTGTGATGGCACTGGGGTGGACAATGGGGTTGAATGCCGGCAGCTCCGTGCCCGAGGGAGGCTGTAGCTTCACCTTCATCACCTAGGGAGAGAGAAGAGCATCCCACATTCCTGAAGGGGACTTGGCAGGCAGAGGCCCTGCTGCCATATCTGGGGAGCTTCCACTGTCTAGTCAAAAACACTGTGCTGGTTCCTGCTAATCTGAAGGCAACACAACTCACGCTCAGCCCCACACAGCTCTCCCCACCCACCCTGCCTTTCCAGCAAAAGGAGAATCACACTTCAGCCCACTCTGGGGACCTCAGCCCCAGCAGACACCTTACCTTGGGGACGGCAGACTGAAAGACAATGTTGCGGATGGGCTGCGGGGCCGTGCTAAGCATAGAAATCACCACCACAAGCACATCGGGCCTCTCAGGCAGGGCATCCTTAGCAAAGTGGAAGAGAACGCGAAAGCCGTGCTGATCATACACTGTCACAGGGAGGATGCTGCCTGTGGGAAAGGCAGGGACAGGCTGCAGTCAGCCAGGAGTGAATTGGCCACGCAGCAACCTCTCCCCATCACCCAAACTCCGTACAAGTGACAGAGATACCACTCCTCTTCAACCTCCACAAAATCCAACAAGCAAGAAGTTTCCTCGCATTCTTCCCTTCCATATGCGCATGGTTTGTTCCACCTTCTTCATGCCCTGTCCAGTTGTTTCCGCCTTGATTTCTCTGTTTCTCTTCCAAACAGCCCACTCCCACCCTTCCCCCCCCCACAAGCTTGCCCCACTCTTTCACCCCGGCTCACTGGGTTTGATTGACTCCAGAGGCACAGTGATGTTGGCCAGCGAGATCTCCTGGGGCAGCGCAGTGGCAGGAGGCCGTGGTGGGACTGCAGTGCTTCCTGCTGGTGTGGTGGCAGCTTTTGGAAGCGTGGCAGGGGCAGGCAGCTCCGAGGTCAGGGGCAGTGTGGGATTTGGGGAAACACTCTGGAGCACAGGCAGAGCGCTGGGATTGTGGGCCAAGGTGCCAGAGCTGCTCCTGTTCTGGAGATCCCTCAGGGTGAGCCGGGGGGGTGGCTGCTGCTTCTCCCTGTAGGGAGAGAGAGAGAGCAAGGAGTGGAATGGAGCACAGAAATGTCATTTCCAGCACCCCAGAAATGGAAATGATGGGGAGAGATGCAAGACT